GACTGACTGACTGACTGACTGACTGACTGACTGACTGACTCACTATTTCACCATATAGTCGGAGCTGGCCTTGCATGTACTGTGTAGACCAGGCTGGCTCTAAACTCACAATCCTCCTGCCTCAGCCTTCTGAGTGGTAGAATTACTGGTATGAACCACCATGCCCAGTTTATCACTGATACCTTACTGAAAAATGGCTATGGCCCTTTTCTTGGCTTTTTTTAGATCATGAAATTTCATGGAAAGATATTGACAAATGTGGCTCTGTTGGCTCAGAGCATCTACCAAGGCACGTGAACACAGTCTATTCTGTCCCCTGGATGGAGAGAAATCAGCAGGCCCCTGGTTTTGGAACTGGGAGGGGGAGCCACTCATCCTTAGCAGGACGCAAGGGTAGTAACCCTCTGCCCAGGACTGTGGAGACAGCTTCCCGTCACTCTGGGACTGAAAATCTCAGTGGGACTCAGCTCACCTGGACTGGTGTTGGATGCAGGCTGGCAGCAGCAAATAGGCAGGTTCCAGAGGACTGACAGGTGAATGAATGGTAAAACTTTTCTTCATGTCCCTGTTTCCCTTTTCGAAGCCATCCTATGAATAATGTGTTTCAGTATCTAACACTACTCCTTTTTTTTGTCACAGCACTTGACCTGTTACCTATCACTCAGTTGACTATGTAATTGTTAGTCACATGCCATCTCTCTTCCTGGAGTTAAACACTTTTTTTTTCCTTGTTAAACTTTGTTCTAATGGGTCTCAAAATTCTGTGACAGACTTTTGGCCAAGTTGTTTCCATTAAAAAGTATTGATTTTAAAAACTAATAACTTAAAACTGCCACACACAAAAAAATGGTCCATAAAACATTCTCCTTTCCTTCTCAAGGTTATTGTTATTGTTAACCAGTCTTTCACTATTAAACTTAAATGGCCAATTGAGAGAAACAGTTCTGAGACTGGTCTTCCACCACTGATTAAGACTGGGGTGTCAGGTGTCAGGGATAATATTCTTTTAGCTTTCTGAGCTTTCCAGGCAGACTTGGTGACCTTGCCAGCTCCAGCAGCCTTCTTGTCCACAGTTGTGTTTTTTTTTTGTGGAACTGGGGGTTGAACTCAGGCCCCTGTGCTTGCCAGGCAAGTGCTTATTCTGCTGAGCCATCTCCCCAGCCCCTTGTCCATACCTTTGATGACACCCACAGCAACTCTGTCTCATAGCACAAACAGCGAAACGACCCAAAGGTGGGTAGTCAGAGAAGCTCTTGACACACATGGAGTTAAGCACTTTCAAGGCAGGTTTGCAGCTGTTTCCCCAGTGTTATTATGGCCTTGGCTCCCAGATTGGTCAGCAGATGTTTAGTAGAATAAATGAGATGGACATTTGGTCCACAGTGGTCTATTGGCTGTCAAAATCATCCTCTACAGCTCTGCGCATTCTTGTAGGGCCTTTTATTCTCAGCCTCAGTGACCTTAGGCCTATGAGAGTTTGCCCAGAGTTCTTTGTATCAGCCAGTTTGGCTATCCTGTTTGGATCTGCATCTTTGCCTGGCCATTTGCCTACAGCCCAACTCAGATCTTGTCATCAAGTCATGGCCTTGCAGTGACTCCTAGGGTCTTTCAGACTTGTAGGAAAAACATTGCTATGGACTGTGGAGGTTGGAATAACTTGTTTCCTCATTCTTCTAGAATCATTTCAAGACTTCCTCGGTACCTTTGGGAGGCAGGGCTAAGCAGACCTGTGTAGGTCATTCCCTGACCCACTCTGTGGTCCAACTGCAGCCAACCTGTACTTAGATCTCATGGATTATGGAATACAGTCAGTGTCTGTCTGTCTGTCTGTCTGTCTCTCCCTCCCTCTCCCTCTCCCTCTCCCTCTCCCTCTCCCTCTCCCTCTCCCTTTCTCTTCCTGTAGGTGGGGGATTAGTATTACCTCTATTTTTCAGATGAGCTCAGAGAAGTTGGGTCACTTGCCCAGAGATCACACTGAAAATAAGTGATAGAGCTTGGACTCCTTCCAGGATCCTGTGGTCCTTTTCTGAGCCAGGAGTAAGTAGCATCTGGCTACACTGAGATCCATGGGGGCAGCTCCCAGGCAGACTAGAGGGCATAGAGGCCTTCCAGATTTTGTGACTGCTGACCCTGCATGTGGGACTCTGAAGTGGCTTCAGGCAGGTGGATAAAGAGTTAATACAGAACAAAATAGCTCTCCAAAGAAGTAAATCATCTCTCTACACCATGGTTTTTCATCTGTAGACTAGTGTTAGGCAGTGCCTACCTTCCAAGATTATTCCGGGAGACCTGTTGTCAGACCTCACTTGGGCTATCTTGGTAGGTTTCTGTTTTTTTGCTGAGTGAAGCTTGGAGGAGACTGGGAACCTCTAAGGAGTCAGCTGTTTGAAAACCTCTTAGGTCAAAAGCTCAGGAACTCTCAGAAAATGATGAAATTTTATCTAAAAGAGAGCTATGGAGTCTTCAGCGAGGCTCCATTGGTCCTGTGTCATTTCTCAATCTGATCTGGATATTCTGATGCTCGTCCCCTAGTGTAAATTTTTCAGATCTGCTCTTTGTTGTTATTATTTTGTGGTACTAAGGATTGAATCCAAGGTCTTTGCTCTGGGCTACATCCCCAGCCTTTTTTTTTTTTTTGGTAGAGTCTTACTAAGTTGCCAAGTTGCCAGGCAAGACCCAAACTTGTGATCTATCTTTCTCAGTCTTCCACCATGTCCAGCTCCTGCTCATATTTGGAGTCCTGCTTCCTTCCACTCTCACTTCCAGTTTAGAGCAAAGACTTTGGAAATGTAATCCCTTCTCTTGACAGGAGAGTTGGAGGATGCACAGACCACTGTTATCTGGGCTTTGCTGACTTAGAACTGTGGAGGCCTCTGAATAAGTGCAGTCAGGAGATGGGGAGCTGCCACCTTCCCACCTTCCATCTCACTATCACCTTAGAGACATTGGAGCATCTAGATCAGGGATGTATATTGCCTCCCATCCCCCCCCCCATCACATCTGACAGAGTTGTGACTACTGGAAAATCATTTAACCTCTCAGGTTTACCTTCTGCATCTATAAGATGGGATGTGAATGCCTCCTTCATAGAATTAGTATAGTGATTAGATTGAGTAATGTATGGCAAAGGGTTTGTTACACTCATAGGTTTCCATAAACATGTGTTGGGTCAACAGAAAGGTCAGGCCTAAGTGGTCTGAGGACAGAGATCTCTTGGGTTTAGTCCTTTCTAGCAGACTTCCCTTGAGAGAATGGAAGAGATGTAGACAGTTACATAAGCATCTGACTTCTATTCTGGCCAGGGCCCCTAACAAAGGCCAGCCTGAGGCTAAACCTACAAGGTTGGGTTAATCTACCATGTATGTGGCCACCAACTCCACACAAGCCTGGAAATGTGGAGGGGACCAAGGAGTTGGCCTTACCTAATAGTCTAATTACTGTTCTTTCCTCCCACAGGTATTGCCTTCACAGACCTCCCGGTAAGTACTACCAGTGGGTCTTCCTGGTGCTGGGCTCCTGGGGGGTGCCCGGGAGGAAGATGATGGTACCTACAATGGCAAGGTGTGGAGTCCGACCCTTTCTCCAACCAGGGATGTGTGCTGTGCTATTAGCTTGAGGGTGCCAGTAGGGAATACTTGCTGTCTTTCCTCTTTTCTCCAGCAGCAAGTCTTGCCTTCTTCTACAACTTAACAGGTGACAGAAATTTGTGATATTTCCAGAGGCAGCTGTGGGTTGGGCAGGGGTGGAATCAGGGCATCTCTGTAGCTCAACTGGTTGAGTCAATTCTATGTGGCTTATATAGCCAGTAGATTGGAGGTGCAGAATGTAGGGAACTACTCCTAAACCAGATCTGTACATACTCATCAGAGATTCCTGAGGAAAGCCAGGGCCCTCAGGGAGACAGATTGCTACCATTCAGGGTCCCTACTGGCTAGGGAGATGAGCTTTTTGGGGTTTTCTTAGAAAAGAATGGGGTTTTTATAGTCTTAGTTCAGGACTTATCCCCACCTACTATACCCCAGTCAACTACAGTGAGTCACTACAGGACTTGTCACATGTACAGCCTCCACCCAGAATGCCGGGCACCTGGCCCAGCTCTGTGTACCCTGGCTGGTTCTGGAAGCAATGAAGGTATGCTGACTTGCATGGATCCCAGGCATCTTGTAATACCCCAGGAAATGCCTTTGTGCCCTGAGGGGTCTCTGAAGCTCAACTGGGGCACCCAGGATCATGTTTAATCCTCCTGTCTGTTTATCAGAATCCTTCTTCCTTCCCACCTGAAGGCCTGCCAAAATAGGCAATGGGCCTAGGCAAAGTGAGCACACTCAAGAATCTAGTTGTGGAGACATGACGTGTGTTTACCAGATGAGTGTAGGCAGTGTACTATCAAGTGCTAGAACTTGTGGGGAGTATCCTTGTGGGCATTGATGGTCAGGGAAGGCTTGCTGGAGGAGATGGTCTTTGCTTGTATTATGGAGTCTAGGAGGGAAAGAAAGAAGTCTTTGGGTTCTGAGATGATGGTGGGCTAAGCCCAGTGTGCCCAGGAAAGGCACACTGTACTCAGAAATAACAAGAGGCCTAAGGATAGGTGAAGAGGAGACTGGAGGTGGGGGCAGGGAAGATGGTGTGCAGTGACATATGGAGAAGGTAGGTGAGAGGCTCTAGGCAGTGGCAGTGGGAGCCACAGGACACACTGAGGGGAATGATCTGGCATAAGCTGCTCATGGCAGGGGTCGGAGTGGAGGGGTAGGATAGAAAGCAGGGAGCACACATTTCATTGTGCTCTGTTGAGTGAGCTTCTGACAGGAAAGACAGCAGCCTTCTCTTCCCTTTGTCAATACCGAGGAGTGCAACTCACCTCATGCTTTGTTATCTTTTTTCTTCCCTTATCTCCTATGTCTGTCTTCCTGCTGCCTCCTATAATTTTTTCTTCTGATTCTGAGGATTGAACCTCACCATAGCCCCAGTCCTTTTTATTTTTTATTTTGAGACAGGGTCTTACTAAATTGCCCATGCTGGCCTCAAACTTGTGATCCTCCTGCTTTAGCTTCCCCAGTAATTGAGATTACAGGCATGCACCACCATATCAGGCTCTCTCATAGTGTCTCTCTGTCTGTCTGTCCCTCCCCTCTTTTTTGTTTTTGAGACAAGGTTTCTATCCATGCTGGCCTCAAGCTCACAGTCCTCCTGCCTTGTCTCCTAAGTTCTGGGCATACAAGATTTTGCCACCATGCCCAGCGCTCATATAGTTTTTTTGTTTGCTTGTTTGTTTGCTTTTTTTTTTCCTCCCCAAGAGATCCTTGGCCTTGGATGACGAACTTACGTCAGTGTACTCTGGCTGAGGTGGCTCTTGGGCTTTGGGGACTCTATGGCTTCTGGTACAGAGCAAGTGAGTGTCCATATTGAGACTTGCTTTGTTTCCTTTTGTTTTCTTCCCTCAAACTCTGGGTTGCAGTGTGTCTGGTAGGGTGCTAGACACAATGTGGCTTAGCTGCTGCTGTGTCCCATCTTGTAACTCTTTTCCAGCCCTAGCACACACCAGCAGGAGCCATGGAGTGAAGCAAGGCCCTGCCACCCCACTACCCTCTGGGTTGACTGACATTCATTCTCCTCCTCAGGCCAACCTCTACCCCACCGTAGGCCTGCAGACACCTGGGGAGATTGTGGACGCCAACTTTGGGCAGCAGCCCTTCCTGTTCGACATTGAGGACTACATGCGAGAGTGGCGTGCCAAGGTCCAGGGCACTGTGCACGGCTTTCCCATCAGCGCCCGGCTTGGCGAGTGGCAGGCAGTGCTGCAGAAGTGAGTGCCAACCCCCCAGGCCTCGTGCTGCTGTAGTCCACACAGTGCTACAAGCTGCTCCTATGAATCAAAGGGGGAGCATGCTTCTGGGAAGTGCTCTCAGGGGGATTTGGCCACTGCCCTGCTTCCCTTTCCTCAGTGGACAGCTCTGTGCCACCCTTCAGAGCTGCTCCTGCTTAAACCTCAGGCAGTTCAGAAGGTCCTTGTGTATAAAGGTCCTGTAAGGCTGTGTCCCTCTCTCAGGTCATTTTGCAGAAGACATTTTAGGACCCCCTGTGGTCTCTTCCTCTTGTGTAAAGTTTTTCCACCACTAGGAGTATATGTTCTGCCCATACTCTGGCCTGAGATCATCTCACAGGGTCCCCATCTAGCTAAATCCCTTGCTTCTATGGCATTGGTGGAGGAAGAGAGTCTGCTTAAGGACCACCCAATCTGGCTCCTGGCTGATTAATTCTCAGACTGTCATGGAAGCCAGTGGTACTAAGACTCCAATAGGAAGCCTGGTTTGGCCCTCTTCCAATGGCTAAGTAAAGCCTAGATCCCAGGGGTGGGGAAACGCATGGCTTTGCTCTTGGAGAAAAGCAGGGCTTTGCTCGGCCTGGTCATTGCCCTGTAGAAGCACCAAGGTGCCAGGGCCTTTGGGTGAGATTGGCATGCAAACTTGGTCTTTTTTTTGAAAGATACTGAGGCAGCCATGAGGGAGAGGGATGGTCAGACTCTTCTTATAAGTAGCAGTATGTCTGTGTCTCATTTCCAGCCCCTAGAGTAATGGAAAATGCTTCTGTGCCACACCCTGTAGGCCAGCCTGCTGGATGGGCATGAGAGGTGGAACTGCCCAGATTCTACAGGGGAATATTTGATAGTCTCAGCTTTCAGCACCTGAGCTCAGCACATGGGCATTTTTGTTTACATCTGTATATCCACATGCTTGTATGTGTGCATATGCAATATTTGCCAAAACCTATGTATAATCTGTGTTCTGTGGTTTCACATAGATTCATTTTATGCATATTGGGAATGGCTGGGTTATCTTGGAGACAAATTTGTCACAAGCCCCTTGGCAGGCTTCTGCTGGGAAGTCAGGTATCTTTTCTCTTTTGCTGGTGTACATAAACATTTTCCTACATATAGCAGATTTCATATATGAAATTTTACGTACATGAGATTATTTTCTTGGTGTCCTTTTAAGGAGTGGAATGTTGGGTCAAAGAGAATATACATTGTAGAGGCATTTGATAGTCACAAGGGCTTATCTAAACCATGTTTTGCCCAAAAATTTTACCCTTGTAATAGTTGTAATATAATAAAAATATTATAATAAATGTTTAACCCTGGGGCTGGTGAGATGGCTCAGTGGTCTAAAGCACCTACTTGGAACAAGCTTGGCAAAGCACAGGGACCGCGGTTCGATACCCAGCACCACATGCCAGCCAGCCCCGCCCCCTGGTGGGCTGAGCTGGCCACACACACACACAAATAAATAAAATTAAAAAAAAAAAAAACATTATAAAACATAGGCAACATACAGCCAAACTTCCATGCCTTCCACACAATAGTCTTTTGGATATTTCTTTCTTTCTTTTTTTGGTGGAACTGGGGATTGAACTCAGGCCCTTGTGCTTGCCAGGGAAGCACTTATTCTATTGAGCTATCTCCCCAGCCTAACCCTGTAGTTATAGTCCATGGTTTTGTTTGTTTAGAGACAGGTCAGCTTAGGCTGTCCTGAAACTTGCTGTGTAGCCCACGCTTCCCTTGAATTAACAATCCTCCTACCTCAGCCTCCTACAGAGTTATAATTATTATTCAGAATATACTATAATACATATTTTTATAAGAGGTTGTTTGTATTTGGTTGTATGTATTTACTTCTTTCTTTGTGCCAAGCATTTTACTTATATTGTCTCATTTACTTATTAAAACATAGGCAACAGGGGCTGGTGAGATGGCTCAGTGGTCTAAAGCACCTACTTGGAACAAGCTCAGCAAAGCACAGGGACCGCGGTTCAATCCCCCAGCACCACATGCCAGCCAGCCCCGCCCCCTGGTGGGCTGAGCTGGCCACACACACACACACAAATAAATAAAATTAAAAAAAAAAAAACATTATAAAACATAGGCAACATACAGCCAAACTTCCATGCCTTCCACACAATAGTCTTTTGGATATTTCTTTCTTTCTTTTTTTGGTGGAACTGGGGATTGAACTCAGGCCCTTGTGCTTGCCAGGGAAGCACTTATTCTATTGAGCCATCTCCCTGGCCCCCATCTTTTGGATATTTCTGTTAATGATAATGATGACTAGCTGGGCATTGTGACACACAACTCAGCACTCAGAGGCTGAGGCAGGATGATTGTGACAAGTTTGAGGCCAAGCTGAGCAACATGGTGATTTTAAGGTCAGCCTGAACTGCATAGCAACATCCTGTCTGAAAAAAGAAAAAAAAAAGTAATGATATTTGGTACATGTATCAACTTCCCATAATGAATGTAATCACTGTGTACTGCAAACATGTACTAATAAAAATGAGAATGTAAAAGATAATAGTAGTCACATCAGGCACATATACACCCCAAGGTATTCACTCCTATACATATCAGACATGAGAGTTTGTCCTTCTGTGCTCCACATTTGCACACATGTGCATGCACACACATTATATGTGTCACTGCTCAGCCAACTTGGAATGGGGTCAAATGATTACTGGGCATTAGGTCCTTTTCCAAAGATTTTGTTTCTGTTGGCCCTGCTTGTGCCTCCCTCTTTCCCGTAAAATCAGCCTGATATCTTGGCATCATGGGCCCCAAAGGATGTAGTGTAACATGGAGCAACTTGGCTCAAAGTTTAGCTCCCATCACTAGAGCCAGTGCTGCCAAGGGGCAGTTTTATTAGAGAAATGGGACACTCCTGCCTGGTGCAAGCAGCTGCTTCTGCATCTGTGGGGTAGTTGTGCATTTGCCGGGTATCCACTGGCAGGGAAGTTGCCATCCTGGCTAGCTGGATGCCCTATCAAGAAGCCTTGGGTAAGATTGTCAGCCATCTCTTGGCTTGCATTTCATGAGGTGGCAATTGCTTCTGTAAGCTTGGAACAGACACTCCTCTGAGCTGTGAGCACAGATATGACAAGACTTTCCCCCACCTGATAGTATGTACACTGTGGGAAATTTTCATTTTGTTTCCATCTCTTCAGTTTTTGTGGAGGTTGTACCTCTGAAATGTGTTTGCCTAAAGCTTTTTGGGGTAGTCTGTCCCATCAATTGGTCAGTGAAAAATATGGTTCTTTTTTTTTTTAGAAATATGGTTCTTGAGTGTCACCTTGAGCTCTTCTTTTTTCTAGCATGGTCTCATCTTACCTGGTGCATCATGGGTATTGTGCCACAGCCACTGCTTTTGCCCGAATGACTGAAACCCCAATTCAGGAAGAACAGACGTCCATAAAGAACAGACAAAGTAAGGTTAATTCTCCTCTACCTTTTGTGCCCTTACTGTCCCTAACTGCTCTCTGGCTCATGCCAGTCTTGGTTAACCTGTCAGAAATCCATCCTACTCTGGTCTTCACCAATTTGAAGACCAGCCCTCCACCCCTAGGCCACACCCAGGCCCTGATCCTGTTCTTCCTTTAAAACAACACTGTCCAGAACTGAGAAGGTCTCATTGTATACTGTCCAGGCCAGGTACAGGCAGGACCCTGGCATGGCTAGATTCCATTCTTCCATGCTTGGTTCCTTGGCCCGAAGTCCTAGATTCTATATAGCCTCCTATTCATACTTTTCAGAAAAAGTATTTGTGGGCAGGGGAGATAGCTCAGTAGAAGAAGCACTTGCCTGGCAAGCACAAGGTCCTGAGTTCAATCCCTGATACCACAAAAAAAGAGAAAAAGTATTTGCATCTTACCAGACCAACTGCCTGCCTTTCTTACCATTTATTTACCCAGCCTTCTGCTTGTTCATAGCTAGAGAGAGGACTGAATGGACAAATGGTGAAGCTGATGCTTGGTGGCTACTGTGGTAGTGCTTTCCTCTTCTCCTCACCTCTGATCCTGCTCTTTGCAGATAACTAATTCTTTCTTGGTCAGAGACAACTCTCTCCTAATGTTCATACAGGCATATGTACTGCCTCTTATCTTTTGGGGCCTTTTCATGGGAGGAGGAGTGGGACAGGACAGAGAGAGCCCACATAGGAGATAGGAGAGGAATGTGAGGGTGAGTGGATGTATGTATCTATGAGTGCCTGTGCTGTCTCTCTGAGCCTGTTGTCTCTATGTATATGGCTTTGTCTCCCAGAGAAGCTGCATTAGCCAGACAGACCCAAGGGGATCCCAGACTTGGGATCTACAAATGAGATCTCCTCAGACCCAGAAGTTACTCCCTAAAAGATGCACCAGTGCCCACGGCAAGAATGTGAAGGCGTGGCCGGCAAGATAGTTCAGCGGACTAACGTGCCTGCTTAGGCAAGTGCAGGGACTGCAGTTCGATCCCTGGCACTACAGAGCCAGAATCTGGGTGTAGTGGTGCATGTCTGTAATCTCAGCACTGGGGAGGCTGAAAGCAGGAAGATCACCATGAGTCTGAGCTGTGTAGTGAGACCCTGCAACAACCAAATACGTTTTTTAAAAAAAAGAGTGTGAAGGCAACAGCAAGATGCTTATGGTCCAAAAGGTGTCATCATCAGAGGCACCAGGGTGAGGAGAATGCCTTTCTTTCTCAGCAGGGAGCACACGGCAGCCTCTGAAACCAGTGCACTGTCGTGGCTTTTCCCTTGCAAGTCCTGGAAGAAAAGAGTATACCTGAAGCAACTGTCTGCCTATCCTCAGATCATGGGCCCTCCCACAGCTAGCACCTTCCTCCTAGCCAGGTCCTTGACCACCTACACCCCACAGGAATGGGCCTCCCAATACCCCGCCTGTCTGGGATGCAATTTCCCCTGTTTTCTCCTCTTATTCTTGAGGACTCCCTAAGCACAGGTTCTGCTCTGCAGCTAGACAGCCAAGTTCTCTCTAACCATTGATTCTGTGAGCATCTCCAGTTGAGTAGGCTGTCTGAGCCAGCCCATCTGACTTTGCTGGTTCCCTCCCCTGAGTTTGGCCAAGTCCCAGGCATGTGCTCCAAAGAGAATCTGTGACCCTCACTCACTATTACTGTTTTTGCTCTCTACAGAGATTCAGAAGCTGGTACTAGAGGGCCGAGTGGGCGAGGCCATTGAGACCACACAGCGCTTCTACCCTGGGCTGCTGGAACACAACCCCAACCTCCTCTTCATGCTTAAGTAAGTCTACGCTCAGGTACTCAAGCCCAGCCCCACAGCTGGCTGCAAGAAGCTGCAGTGTGGGCCAGGCTGAGAGCATTGCTGCTATGCTCCCTCCACAGGTGCCGACAATTTGTGGAGATGGTGAATGGCACTGACAGTGAGGTCCGCAGCTTGAGCTCCCGAAGCCCCAAGTCCCAGGACAGCTACCCTGGCTCCCCCAGCCTCAGCCCCCGGCATGGCCCTAGTAGTTCCCACATGCACAACACAGGTCAGCCACTCTCCAGAGGGCTCTGGGAAGGAAGGGCACCCCACATGCCCTTTTCTATACTGGGTTCAGGACTTGCCTGGTGCTGGATGGGGGAGAGGGAGTGGAAACTACTGTGGTTATCCCCAGGGCCCAGCTTGATGGCAAGCTGTCCCCTCCTCTGACTATCCCTGGCTTCTAGGAGCAGACAGTCCCAGCTGCAGCAATGGCGTTGCGTCCACCAAGAGCAAACAGAACCACAGTAAATATCCCGCACCTAGCTCCTCCTCCTCGTCCTCGTCCTCCTCGTCCTCTTCCTCCCCGTCCTCCGTCAATTACTCCGAGTCCAACTCAACAGACTCCACCAAGTCCCAGCCCCACAGCAGTACAAGTAACCAGGAGACCAGGTGCCTGTCTTGCTCCACTGTCTCTTCTCTGCTTCCACTCTGTGCCCATTGGGCCCACTGCAGTGTCCTTTGAATACTGTTCCCTGCCCTTCACTCCACCTCCACTGCTGTCCTGTGCCTGTAGTACTAGCTGTTGACCTGCCACCAGTCATGGCCTTGGCTCCTGGCCTTACTAAAGATTTAGCTGGTAATTTCCTTAGACCTGGCTTTCTCTGGAGGTGCTGGACCTGCCAGGCAGAAGGGGGTCTCCTCCAAAGAGACTGGGCCCATCATCAGCCCCAAGATACATAGTGAAGGGGCTTTTGTGGGATATGGCTTCTGCATAGCCAGGTTGGAAGGCAAGGTGCTTGGGCTGCAGGTTGCAGCTCTGAGTGGCTTTCAGCAGGTTTTGGATATACCTTCAGGCCCACCGGGGCTTAGCTTCCAGCCAAGGCCACAGAGATCCCCATTGGGTTGTGTGGAGCCCAGGCATTGAGGATGTAGAAGAGCTCTGTCAGTTTAGAAGAGCGAGGGAGGAGAAAGTCATGGAGGCAGAATTGGGACAAGAGCGACAATCAAGTGACAGGCCTCTGGGAATAGCTGTGGTAGAAGCCAGGTCTTGAAGACAGCAGGGAAACTTGAGCTGTCCTTTCATATTCCTGGTGACCCTCAGCTTATGTGCAGTGATCACAGCTAAAACCTGGATTGAGGCCCAACTAGGCTGCTCCAACCACATCCGCTGAGCCAACTCCCTTCAACTGTTCTCCACAGCGACAGTGAGATGGAGATGGAGGCGGAGCATTACCCTAATGGTGTTCTGGAAAGCATGACCACCCGCATTGTCAATGGTGCCTACAAGCATGAGGACCTGCAGACAGATGAATCAAGCATGGGTAAGGGCCATATATTAGCATGAGCTACCCTGGTGTTCCCTGAGAGGCCAAATAATGGGGCTGAGATGGCAGGCTTTGGCTGTTTGAAAAGCTCTATCCATACCAGATTCATTGCCTTCTTAGCCAGTCACAGATAGGTTCTGCAGCTGGCTTCAAATGTGTACAGTAGTCTAAGCTGCTGCCAGGACTAGGTTCAATGTATTTGGGGCTGGAGGAAGTTCAAGACTGTGGACACTCATATGTGTACCATGTATCTGTGCAGGGCAAGAAGAATGAAGCTTGCCTTCTGTCTGAGTCCTGGACTGTGGGCAAGGTGGATGAGAGCACCTCTGCTCTGGCTGTGCTTCTAGCCTTTGCTTGCCTCTAGCAGAACCTGCAGCTTCCTTGAGTCCTTCTTTCCCTTCCTCATCCCTCCTAAAGTGTTCTTACTGGCCTCTGGTTGCAGATGATGGGCATCCACGGCGGCAGCTCTGTGGGGGCAACCAGGCTGCCACAGAAAGGATTATCCTGTTTGGCCGTGAGTTGCAGGCACTAAGTGAGCAACTGGGCCGTGAGTACGGCAAGAATTTGGCCCACATGGAGATGCTGCAGGTAATGGACAAGCCAGGTCTTTACACAGAGCAGGCCTCCTTTTGGCACTGAGGCAAGGTGTCTCTAGGAGGGTCCAGGGGCAGCAGCAGTAGGGCAGAGTGGGCTCCAGTCTGGTCTGCAGTAGGCAGTGTGGTATCTAGGGTATACCCCATCCTCTTCAGGCTCTGGGAAGGATGCACCCTTGCCCAACTGTATGTCCAAGAATGGTGAGCACTCACTAGACACCATGAAGTGTCCTATCCCCTTCTAGAACCATGGAGCTGTTTGTGGTGTGTGATGCAGTCCTCTCAAAAATACCCTATCCCATAGGATGCCTTCAGCCTACTAGCATACTCAGACCCCTGGAACTGCCCAGTTGGCCAGCAGCTTGACCCCATCCAGAGGGAACCTGTGTGTGCTGCTCTCAACAGCGCCATTTTAGGTGAGTGCATGGAATAAAACAGACACTGACCCATGAATGCCCACGGTGGTCTGTTCACCTCATTCCCTGGAAAGAGCAGAGAGATAGGCACAGGCCCTCTCTGATGACTTATTGAACTCCTGGGCTTCCAGGGCTAAAACTAATTCCTGCTTTCCCTCTACCCAAATGACTTGGCTGCTAGATCATGAGTCGGGCCCTAACTGTGGACTAAAGCCAGCCCACTATTCTAGAGAAGGCTAGGGTCCACAGGTTCCTAGCATAACTACAGGGTCATGGCTTCTGGGACACTCAACAAAGACACTGAATACTATCTTCTAAGATATTTCATTGTTTTCCCCCACCTTCCACCCTCAAGTGAACTTTCACCTGGTCCCAAGCCCTGGGCATGACAGTGACCAGGACTTCTGTCTCCTCCACAGAGTCCCAGAACCTGCCAAAGCAGCCCCCTCTGATGCTCGCCTTGGGCCAGGCATCTGAATGTCTACGGCTTATGGCCCGAGCGGGCCTGGGATCTTGCTCTTTTGCCAGAGTTGACGACTACTTGCACTAGCTGACCATGCAGGCTGGCATCACCTGGCCCTCTTCAGCCCCAGGACTGGAGCAGCCCTGCCCTCCATAGGCATCTGGCCACAAGGACCTGGAAGCCATGGGCAGAGTTCACTCCTCTGGCCACCCCCCCCACCCCCCCGTTTCTCTCCCCTTCACGTGCAGCGGCCTGTGACACAGTATTGGCTGGTTACCCTCATGTAGCGCCTTCTCCTTTAAAGGGAGTTTTGTTTTGAGGGGTTGGGGTTTTTTAATCTTTTTCCTCCTGACTGAGCCACCAGTGTTTATCTCGGGAGAGTTTGTGCTGAGCTGGTTTCTGCTAATTTAGTGATGAAACCTATACAGGTTGGTGATAGCTTATTATTTTCATAAGTAAAAAAAAATGA